GGCTTATATACTAAAAAAGACGGCGTCTAGCAAACACTCGGACATTCGCAGGGTTCCCGATAATTCTAGAAACTCCAGCGCGCATGCTCCCAGCGTCACGCGACTTCCGCTGTCGTAACAGTACGATTAACCTCACTATCTTTGAACTTCTTTTCACATCTTATTGCTTTTCCGATATTTCACATCTTTTTATCATTTATTCATTGTTTGTTCCTATGACCAAAACATTCGCTTTTATGTTAATATAAGAATGTATCATCTTCCATAGACATTTTGAATCTAGTTTTTTTTTTTATCGTATTGGTTAACAGCTTTCTTCTCGTATGATGGCATTATTATTACATTTTTCTTTGAGTAATATGTAAGTGTTGTACAACTTGTGCTCATACTTAAAATAAATAAAAGACCAAGTTTTTATCTTTTAATCTTAAGATCAATACGAAGCTTCCACAAAGCTTGCATTTCAGACATTAATCAAATATTGTTTTTATGTGTAGTTGATGTACATCACATAATACTAATATTCCGATAAAGATTGAAAATAATATTACAACATGTACAACTACATTTATATTATTGGTACACAGAAATAGGTTTATTCTATAATATATATTGATTGAATATATTGATATTGAACAGTCGAAATGGCTTTCAATATTTCCGTTCAAATGTGTAAAATGTATATAAATTTCAAATGGCGTATAAAATATGCTAAATGTGTTTCATTAAGCTCTCTTCGATCGTCTTCTTAGTGGTTTTACATATTTTTGTTGCCTGGGTATGGGCTAGCAATTACCGTGGCGAGCTATGAATTCGAGGATTCATTATATTGTTGACAAAAATTGCGCTTTGCAGTTTCCGGCTGTAGGTGGGTTAGAAAAGTGACGGTTAAATCCTACTATTCGATTAGAGTAGCTCAAATGTTGGCGGTTGGTGCTATTGATTGGCTGTCTTTCCTTTATTATACCACTTCAAAATTAGTGACAACTAATACAGATACTTCTTTTGTAGCTTTCCGCAAGTATTCAAAAATAAACAATTATATTTTTGTATTGTTATAGGTGACGAATTCAATATTTGTGACGCAGGAAGAACCTGCTGTACTCAAGAGACAGAAAGAAGCTTTGTAAAAGCTGCTAGCGAGGATTTTCGTTCTATGATTCAGATGAGTGGTTCATTACTGACGGATTTACTTACGACAACTTCTGCTCGTCTAGAAGGTATGTGTGAAAATTTTTTTTTATCATGAATTCAAAGAGTCGACACTTTACGTGTTTGGTAACTTTAATAATTCACAGGAAAACTTTCTCGATGCGGCTTTTATACAAAGTTATCTAGTGTTTACAGAGGGTTTCAATATGTTACATTGAAACGATTTTGAATATGCAAATCAGCAGGTCACGTGACAACACCAACTGATATAATTTACTCGAACTGAACACATCTTTATGATCAGAATGTATGAATATTTTGCGTAGGAAACGTCTATTACCCTTACAAAAGCAGTCTGTTTTCAATGACATCACATAATCTATGCAACAGTCTGTTTTCAATGACATCACATAATCTATGCAACACACCACTATGCAATATCAAAATTTAGTTTTGATACATTCTGTTCTCCCGCGAATAATAGTTTGCAACACGGGGATATCTTTTGTACTTAATGTCCTTAGAAAACAAAAGAATATGGATCAACCTGAGGAATCAGGACCATCAAATTGTACCCCAGCTGTGGTAAGCGGAGTGCAGCTATTTGTAGCAGATGAAAATCCACGAACACGAAAGTCAGTGGCAAAAGCCGTTCACATGACCCAGGCAACAATACTCAACATAATCAAGAAGAATCTTCGTCTGGAAAAGCGACAAAAGTCATGCATAAACAATTTTCTTCCATGACATATCAGTTCAACTGTCTCACAATGAATTGGATATTCATGCTATTCCATACATAGACATAGCAGTCAAGTCGTTGGACGCAGCGCCTATGGATTTCTGTGTGATTAGACTGCTTAAACGGGCGTTGGTAAACCGGTGTCCTCATACACCAGACGGTTTATGAAAAGCAAGCAGAGAGAAGGAGTGTACTTTGAACATAACATCTTTATGACGGATCTTTTGGTAAGGAAAAATACACTGCAGGGTTGATTTCAAGATTCACATTCGTCAGATATACAGATAACCGGACGTGGCGACATGGACTGTAACGACGTGGTGAGGTTCCAAAATCGTTTTGATATAAAGTACTCACTTTTTACAGGTTTCATGCTTCATCGACTACCGTATTGTTTATCGTGCCTGTATGTGTAAACATACGTATATATATTTGTGTGGTTTTTATTATTTCCAGTTTCACTAAGCCTAAGTGGAAATTTGCCTTACCGGGCCATATCTATAAATCCAGCAGCTTAAAGTAATGTAAGGAGCACACAACAAAATCTTTTCCAAAATTGTTAATAACGTAAAGTTCGAAATTGAAAATGCCCGATCAAACTTTAATATGTATGTGACAACAAGATTTTCCAATTACTGAAAGTCTTCTAAGAATCTATTGAAAAGCGTTTTTCTCTTCTTCGACATGTCGTTTTTCATTATGTTCGTTGTTATCAAAGTAACGCTCAAAAAGTAATTACATTATTTAGTTAGGAGTGCACGTTGAGTTGTACAAGATTGAACTTTGATGTATTTAATCGTTGGACTGATAAGACAAATATTGTAGTCTACTTGGAAACAAAACACACAAAGTTTTGTAGCAATAAGTAGGTCACTGGATCGTTTTCATAACTAAGATTTGGATTAAACTAGCATCATGTTAGAGTCTGCAAAATAAAATTTGAACTATGTATTGTTCGTCCTGCTTTTATAGAAGAATTGAGTACGTTAATTAACACGATTTTGGAACCTCACCACGTCATTACAGTCCATGTCAGCACATCCTGTCATGCTCTGTCTGACGACCGTTCATCTTGACAATAGCCCTTTTGCGTAGTTTCCATTTCAAAAAGGATAAGTCGTAAGGTTGTCATTGTGTCCAACTACTTGGCCGGTATGCCTTCATATTAAATAGTTGCTTAAGGTGTGCGATAGTTGAAAGAATGTGTCGTGGAAGCAACTTGTGTTCACGAGACTTTCGGAACACAGATATTTCTTGATTATTTTGCGTATCGTTGCCTGGGGCAAGTGTACGGCTTTTGCTATTGAACTTTATGTTCATGGATTTTCACCTATTACAAGACGCCGCACTTTTCTTACCGCGACTGGAGTACAGCATGTGAACTTGTAACAGGTTTCTTTTTGGATGGTCCTGGTCCTCCCCAGCTTGATTCATATTCCTTTGGTTTGCAATGTCATTAAGTACAAGGAAATTGTAAATCTTCTATCTAAAGATATATTTATTAATTGAGTGTATGAATATTTTGTGTCTTAAAGGATTGTCACATGCCTTTCTCAAAATAGATCAATTGTCGATAGCATCACACTATCTACAAAATACCAAACAATGCCAAATGTAGTTCTGATACATTCCGTTCTGCCATGACTTTATATGGGTTGCGATTGTAACGTGACTTACGGATTTGGCATATTCAAAATCGTTTTAATATAACATATTCAACCATTTATATTATTACACTTGTCATTTTTATGTTACACTTTTTAACATAGATAAAGCTCATGATTTTCGTTTTCCTATTAAGACTATAGTAAATAATTTATCTTCACAGAAAAAAAACTTGTATTTGATAAAATAATCTAAAGAATAAACTATGAAATGTATCATATTTCGATTTATTACAGTTTTTATATACTTTTCTCTTATCCTATTGTCAGGAAAAACGGATTTCAGATTAATATTACTTATTTTACTGCACCATATATTATTACCCAAATAATTAAGAAATCGATAAATAAACGACAAACAACTTATTTTCACAGAGAATAGAATGCCTATAAGCAACAAATACCATACATGTTTATGTTCAATAAAACGATATATAATTAGGCATGAACGTATAATACGCGACACCAAAAGTTAGGCCTTTCCTTATGAATGGAGATAGTTTTTTATGTGGTTGGCCCATCTACCTCGAGACTGCTGATCTTGGTTTGGTGGGTCATTGACAGACAAGTCATTCAACTGAAGCCCTCCCAGGCGGGCATGGTAGGTAACCCTGGCGCTACCAGTTTTCCCCTAAATGGTGCTGTTGACGACTTGTTGGCGCGTGCCGTGAAGGGTGAGAACCATAGAAGTATTTAGAGTCCTTGATGATGAAAATACACTTTTATCCCAATCGCTTATCTAATTTTCTGTTTCTGGATCTTTTTGAAAGTATAAATATACCTGATTTCTGAAGGTTAGATGAATGAAAGAATTAAAGGAAATACGCTAAAATTTGCATTTGTTGTCTACCCTATGTCGAGCTTTTAAGAAAAACAAATCTGTCAGTTAGAAAGTAAATTATCCAGGGATACAGCTGATAACTAAGAGTTTTTTTTTTATTAATCTACTGTTTCTAAGAGGCTCAGCTGAAGTTTAATGTTAACTTGTTTTGTTTTTTATTTTTAGACTTATTGGTTTTCCAATATTTCGACAGTTTTTGGCGTTTAAACCGAAACTTTTAAAGCTTATTTTAACGTTTTCTTTACCGAGTGTTATCCGTGTACAAACGAAGCTGTTCGGTGTAAATCCAAGTGTGTTTATTAAGCGTTTTTAACAATAAAACAACTGAATCGTGTTAAGACTCAGCCGGTATTAAATAAAAGAATGGGTAGTTAAGCTATGGTGGGAATATATTACATTTATATTTAAGGAAAGATAAGGACTGCAGATTACAACGGAAAACTAACCATTTGGCGGTTGTATAAGAGCTTCTGACAACAATCGTTGTCAGAATTAATAACAATTAATTACAATAATTTAGACTGAAATATGTTTGTCTTGCACATTTTTATTTTTGTTACTATCTAATATTATGTTTTCAGATGAATTAAGTTTTACTGATAACAACTTTACAATCGTAGATGTAAAGGCTGCAGTCAAGTAGGTGTTATTACTTAATCCATTGATAAATATCAGGTTTCCAGAAGGTGACATTTACGGCATTCCCTTGGTGGATCAGCAGTAAGCTTAAGGACTTAGATCTCTAAAAGTTGGGTTTTATAGCAGCCACGGGCACAACTCAGATAGCCATTCACAGCAAAGCAGAAAAGAATAGAGAACGGAAAACTTGTTTTTTACTTCGCAGTTAACAGAACGTATTTGTTTACTTTCATCACTTGAAATAATATTAGAAACTTTATAAATACTTCTGAGAGCAATAACTAAACTTTTCGGAAACTACTGTAGCTGGAAATTTAATTTAGAAAGTAATAATCTTCAGTCGAACAGGATCTTAACTCTACGAAACATGGCCTTTACTTTAGAACTGTGGTCTTTGATATTTTGAATTTAAAATTAAGAATAAAAAATATGGGGACATTTTGTGTGCCAAATGTGTCGAACTTTCCTATCCATTAAGTGGACAGACAAATGCTAACATTCTTAATATACCTCTCACGTATACTACCGCTAATAACGGCGACCTAGGTAAATATTTAAATCGAGGGTTTTTACATTAAAAAAAAAGCTTTTACCGATAAATATTACCTTTTTTGGAAATATTTTATTGGCGTCAATTGACATGCATTTAAATTATATATGTGTACAGATGTATATAACCAACTTTATAGAACATTTCAACTTATATATGGAAAATTTTACATATATAACTCTACAGAAAATTTCATTTGGTGTGTTGGAAGTTTCTCATAACCACATCTACAGAAAGTTTCAGTTGATATGTTGTCAGTTTCTCACAACCACCTCTACAGAACGTTTCAGTTGGCATGTTGGAAGTTTCTCATAACCACATCTACAGAAAGTTTCAGTTGATATGTTGTCAGTTTCTCACAACCACCTCTACAGAACGTTTCAGTTGGCATGTTGGCAGTTGCTCATAACCACCTCTACAGAAGGTTTCAGTTGGTATGTTGGCAGTTGCTCATAACCACCTCTACAGAAGGTTTCAGTTGGTATGTTGGCAGTTGCTCATAACCACCTCTACAGAACTTTTCAGTTGGTATGTTGGCAGTTGCTCATAACCACCTCTACAGAAAGTTTCAGTTGGTATGTTAGCGGTTACTCATAACCATCTCTATAGAACGTTTCAGTTGGTATATTGGC